ATCAAATTAGCATAAATTATGCATATTAATGATAAAATTTACATAAAATTATATGGGATGTTATTAATATTAGAAACCATGAGTAACTTGACATAAAACCCATAAAATTCTATTGTTGAAACAAAAAGTACTAAATTTAGCAAAAAATGCCTGTCAGAAACCCGTTGCCATGGCAACACAAAAAATTATTATCTTATTCCAATGATAGAGAATTGTTGCCAACAATATTTTAGGAAAAGTCACCAAGTTTGGTCGCTCTACGGCTAGCCGTTCAGACGCTAGGTGACATCAAAGTTGCCGCGGGCACTTTTAGCCCCCCCCCCCGGTCTAGGTAGGGTTAAGACTAGTAATACAGTAATGCTGGAATAGGTGGTAGTTTAGCTGGCTGAAACCAAGCCAAAAAACCATAGTTTTTTAGACCAATCTCTCAAAATATCCGTGGCAAACAAGGGGGTCGTAACTATTGCGTTGAGCAATGAATGCCCCAAATAGGAACATGCTTTTTTGCCTAGAAGGAACAGTTGGGTCTAAACTCTTTTGCTTTGTCAAGTTTTGTTCATTTTACCAGTTTGCAGTAGGTGTAATGACAGGTCTGAGTGACTACAAGTAGGTATTGCATTTCCAGAGCGGATAGATACATGAGATATTGGGGTCAAATGTAGGCTTTGTCTCCAGTTGTCAGCTGTTCTCAGTTCTCAGCTTATATATAGGAGGTAGACCATTGTAACTTTCTGGTGCAGATAAATTTTAGAGATTAAAAAGGTTTTTTTTAGAAAGTATTCTATGAGGCACTGTTTCAGTATATTTTAATATAGCCTTCAATGGCAAAACGTAATGCTGATATCAGCACTACTGCTGTGGGTGGTGTACATCTGGAATAGAGACGTACATTGATAAAAAAGAGAATGACTAATATACAGCTGCCAATTTATCATTCAGGCCTTGTGTAAAATTAATTAAACCTAGAAATGATACATGAAGGCAGTGAGATTTTACTTGCCAGAATTTGCAAAATGTAATTTCTAGATACTAGTTACTGTGTCACGACATTGGTCAAATAGACACCTACGCCAGAATAAAGATGAACTGACGATTGAATCACTATGCATTCTCTTACTGTCCCCGACTACAGGCAACAACATAGCAGGCTTAATTCTAAACAGCTGGTATGTGCCTGGTGTACTACGCCAAGACGGATTTAAAAGAGATGGTACCTTTGGTTGAACTTGTTTGAATTTCTAATAGTGCCTCAAGCTCGTAAGAAAATATTTTTCACATATTGACATATCTGATATATTGATGACATATGAAGTCATATATAGTAATGCAATTTTCTACATTTATGTTCCAAAAATGCTAGCGTTATGAAGTGTGTTGGTCGCTTTCTAGGCAAATAGGAAATTCAATGCAGAATAATTTAAGAATACCATTAAAATCTAAATCTTATGTATATATGAGTAACACGACAAAGCAACTTTACCATTGGATTTTTCAAATAAATATAAGAATCCGCTTACTATTGCGCTAAGTGCGCTAAACGCTGCAAATAACAATAACAAATAGAGATACAATAAACGTTAAACAAACATCAGTTATTGGCTACATACAGATTCCATCATTGCAAACATCTGGGGACGCCTCAAGAGCTACAAATGCCCGCGCCCCAGCCTACTTCGTGTTATCGCCATCGCTATGCCAGTAGTCGCCCTGTTGGGAATAGGAGCTTGTGTACTCATGTATCTCACCTTTGCGGAAAACAAGGTATCCGTTACAGGAACATTTTCTTATCTTAGATTTAATGTACCTAGTAGTGATGCCATTTTTACAGCAGTATCAAAAGTTACAACTATTAAAGAA